CGCCGAGCTGTGCCACGTACCGTTGCCGAGGACGCGCGTCATGCTCCTTCCAGCTTCCAGAGCAACCATCGCCATCTCTTTCTCTCTCGCACTCTCTCTCTCTCTCACTCACTCTCCTTCTCTCGATCTCCCTCATTCTCCGCCCCTCTCCTCCTACGAGTGTCTCCCTGCCGTCTTTATGAGGGGAGAGTCTCCTCAGGCTGCTGCCCCTCCCCCCTCCTCTCCCACTGTGACGCAAGGCTTCACAAAAGTGCGTGACGGCGGTGTGGTGTGAGCTCCCGGTTTGACCCCGAGGATGTCGCGCTCGCTTGGTCTCGGTTGCCTGATTCTGTGATCCTCGTCTCGATGAGCTTTGGCAGCGCGGGTCTGCGGGTCTGCGCCAGCCGGGCTGCAGTTGCCCCGTTTGCTGCGCCAGTCTGCTCCGCACTCCTCAGTCCGCCTGGTGACATAAATGAGCGGAACAGTTATAGCAGAACAGGTCTGGGCAGCAGAACGCTGGGCAGCGGAGCGGACCTGCCCGCCCCGCCCAGCACTGCCCCGGCCATGCTCGCCAAGCTGACCAACTCGGACGGACCAACTTACCTCTCGGGATCTGTCCGAGAGCTGTCACGAACACGGCGCGCTACAGCTGCTGCGGCTGCTGCAGCAGGCACGCCTAGTGGGCCAGCGGCGCGGCCGACGTGGAGGTGGAGGGCTGAGGGTCGAGGGCTAAAAGGAGGAGGCGATAACTCCAGAAGGTTATCTTCCTCCACCCCGTTTTCTTCGATAAGGGCGTAGTCCTTGCCGATCAGGTGAGGAAGGGGCTGCATATGAGGCGATTTTGTTCCTTGTTGAAAGCCTGATCGTCATAATTCCGATTCAGTTTCTGACACTTTGCCCGGCCATTGCTGACCCCGTCTCTCCCTCTCTCTCTCTCATTGGCCGGTGCCGTGCTTAATTGGCTGAGCGGAAACTCATAGAATAGCTGGCCGCGACTGACTGCGCGCCGTTTTCTCCGAAGAGCTGTAAAGTAACGAGCTTGGGCATTCCCCTGTTAAATTATTCGAATGAATCGACGGCTCAAGAAAGGGGAAGAGCAGGGCGGGGTAGACGGTGGGGGGCGAATAAGCGGAAGAAACGCACCGAAACAGCTCCCCCTAAGTCGTTGTCGCTCAACGCTGCGCCCGCGTACTTTCACAGTGTATGCGCATCTTCCAAACTGTGCGCTGGCTCCCGGTGCTCCGGCCGGTCCGGGCCATGCAGAGGCGCTGCAGAGGCATGCGGCAGGGCTGTCCGCACGTCGTTAGCTCAACGAGGAGCCATTACACCTCCGGAGAGAGCCCCTGCCAGGCGCTGCAAGGGTCAGGGCGCGCCAATGAGGCGGCCGTCGTGTCGTGAAGCCCCGCCCCGGTGGCCGTGCGTACACCGGCAGTACCTGCAGTATGTACCTGCAGTGTGTACCTGCAATATGTACCGGCAGTGCCTGCAGTATGTACCGGCGGTGCCTGCAGTATGTACCTGCAGTGTGTGCCTGCAGTATGTGCCTGCAGTATGTACCGGCAGTGCCTGCAGTATGTACCTGCAGTATGTACCGGCAGTGCCTGCAGTATGTACCTGCAACATGTACCTGTAGAATGTACCTGCAGTGTATACTTGCAAAGTGTACCTGCTGCAGTGTATACCTGCACTACCTGCAGTACCTGCAGTACCGGCAGTACCTGCAGTACCAGCAGTACCTGCAGTATGTACCTGCAGTACCTGCAGCATGTACCTGCAGTGCCTGCAGTACCTGTGGTGACGCAGCCCGGCGGCGTGGCTGGAGGGACCTCGGTGACGAGCGCGGCGCCGCGCGGTGCAGGCGGATGGAGCGGCGGTGCTCCTTCACGCCCAGGCCATGTAATTGCCCTCGAATTGGCCGCTCTGCGGTGGTTGGTGCCAGGCGGGCCCATGGGCTTCCTAAGTGAATAACTACTGCGGGATCCGACGTGGGGACCCGAGAAAAAGAAAGAAAATAATCATGATCAGAGTGAACGACGTCGGGGAGAGACGTCACACCTTGCACCTGCAGGCCTAACGACGCGCCCCGTGTTCCGAAATGAAATCGAAACCGACGTTGGGACTGTCCAGCCGTCCTTCTCCTTTCACTCGGCCCCCGACCCGGACGGAGCGGCTGACCCTTCCGGTTGACTGCAGTCAGACTGAGACTCCAGTCCCCTGGAGCCGACCGGACTGGGTGCCTCCTGCTGGACCGGAGCACGATTGGGATGCTGCCAGTCAGACGGACGTGTTTCGGCCAAAGATGAGGCTGCTAGCGTTGCAACTCACCTCTGGTGTCTCAGTTTTGTCCAGGAGCATGCCAAATCATTGTTGGCATGGAGCCCCCCGGCTTTTTCATGTCTTCATTTCTTTTTGCCTGGTCGTTGACGTCCGCGAGGGCTGAGAACCGCAGTGTAGTGCACGGCCACGGCTGTGTGTCTACTTTCATCTTTTGTGAGTGCCATTGACAGTTGTCGCTGCAGGGAATGCCTGCCTGGGCTGGCGGGCCTGGCGGGCCGCCTGCGTGTGGCAGCGGCTGGCCTGTGGTTGCCTGCGGCCAGGCCTGGGCCGGCGCGCCGCGGCTGCACCTGCCACGCGGCCGCGCCTCGCCCCGCAGAAAGTACTCAGAATGTAGGCACAGTTCTGCAGCTCTATTGGCGCCACAGGCCGCAGATGACGCCGCTGTCGACGTCGACCAACAAGTACACTGCCTGGAATTAAACAGCTGAGCTAGTCGCTGCGGCTGCTCCCTATTCAAGCTAAAATGCGTGACTATACGCCTCTCTTCGGTATCTAGTAGTTATTTTCGCAGTATGAATTCATTTGTTCCACAGCTGTGTTACTGTTTTGTATTACTTGTGGTCAGTTTGATCTTGATTCCGATGACCTTCCAAAACCTCTCTTAAGGCGTTATTGTCTATTGCTTTTCGCCATGGCCATGGTTTTAACCCGGCGGTGGCCGCGGCCGTGCGAAGGACGAGGGAGCAACGAGCCTCGGCGAGCGCCCTCTGGTCCTTATGAGACCCATTTGGCCCTTATGGGTCCCTATCCGTCCGTAGAAAACAAAGCTTGCGAGGGAACAAGTCATCGGGTGTTTTATGGGGATGTCTCGCCGTAAAGGAATCGTCACTTCCACTTTCTCTGCTCCGAGCGCAGCGCGGCGCGGCACGGAGCGGAGCGAGACACACTGTCCACCTGATATCCAATCCCGACCCGACGACGCCTGGCGAAGCGACTTCAGCTCGCCTGTTTTTCTTTCTTTCTTTTTTTTCGGATTCCGTTTTCGTTCTCATCCTTTAGGTCGGCATTATAGGGGGAAGGTTGTGCGCCTTGAAAGTGCAAGTGTGCTGTAATGGCGGCTCACACGGGTGCGGTGCAGTCGCGAGAAAAAATGATATCTGTAGAACAGTTTGCCAGTTTGTAAGTATGCAATGTGATATGTGTGACATTATGAGTGTGACATCCTTTGGAAGTCGCATCGCAATCGCATATGTAGTGTGACCGTATATTTGGTCACGTTTGTGGTGTGAATGTGACCTATGTGTTATGCCTATACTCCTTGTTAGCTCCACTGTTTTTCAGGGAATGTGACGTCACATAATTTTTTATGTGATTCGTGTCACGTTCGTCGAAATGTTGTGTCACATTCTTTTAAACGTGACTCGGCCAGGCTTGCTACTATTTTGAGAATCAATTCAGGCTGTGTTGCGTTCAAACGAATGTGACGTCACATTCTTTACATACGAGTGTCGTGTTGCATCAATCGGTGACCAAAACTGGCCACATCCTTTAGCATCACACGTGTCACATTTTTCTAGTCTCTCCGGAAAATTATCAACTCACACATAAATTAGCAGGACAACTCAAACTACTTTACCGTTGCGCCTTATTCAACCACTTTTCCGTTTCTCGTTTCGGCCGTGTGTTTGTGTTCTGCGGCGCGCATAGGACGCGGAGCGCAGGCGCATGCCTCCTCCCTGCCGGTGGTGCCGCCTTGACCTAAATAGGGAGGCGACACTCATAATTGTCTTGGGGCCTAATGGGCCTGAAAATCGCGAGGCGCGCGACCCGAGCGGTGGGAGGGGCGGGGGATTCAGCGCGCCGGTGGCGGAGGGTCAGCAGATGCTCATCAGCTGGGTTTTTGCTCCAGCGGCTGACCTCTCTTCTGCTCTACTCAGCTCCTCCTCGGCAGGCCGGCCGCGGCCGGTGGCGACTCCGAGTCTCATTCTTCTCGCCTCGCCCTCACCCTTTTCCATTTTCCCATCAGCTTTATTGCTCCGCCGGTGGATTACAGGCGGCCGCGCCTCGCTCGCTGAGGTGTCCCGGTGAATACACTTCGTAAGCGGCCACTGACCACGGCCGGTCGTGAAGCCGGTGTCTGGCGGGGCGGGGCGGGGTAAGGTGGGGTGGGCCGCGCGATGGACGAGGACGAGAGAGGCGGGGGAGCGGACACGCTCTTCATATTGGTGTCAGCTTAGTGTGCCTCAGGCGAGCTAATGGGTTCGGTCGCCGCCAGGTCGCCGCTTGCCGTCCGTCAGGCCCCCCGGCCTGCAACGCACGCGCGCGCCGCGGGTCTGCCTACCCGGCGCCTGGCCCAGCCCCTGGCCCCGGCTCAAACAGCTGCCTCTCGGCTCGACGCGGAGCGTTGGTGCGGCGGCGGTGGAGGCCTTGTCGCCAAACCGAGCCGGCGCGTCGCCGACGGCACGCCACACTTGTACTTTCCCGCGGCGGCGGCCGCGACCACAAACGAGGGAGACGAGCTAAGCGGTCCTGGACCCTTACGGGCCGGCGGCCGGGGGCCCGGGCCGGGCCGCAGGCCGCAAGCGCGCGGGCTGATGTGGGGGCGGCTTTCTTTGGGGAGTGTCGTCACTCCTCCGGCAGCGGCTGCTGTTGCGGCCCATGCAAATAGGAGCTGGAAAGAGAATGAAAAACGAGTTACTTCTGTGCCAGCCCACCCCTATTGTAACGTGTGTGTTCTGTTGCAGCGCCAACACTCAGATGGACAATGACGTGACGCCGGTGTACCTGGCCGCGCAGGAGGGGCACCTGGACGTGCTGCGCTACCTGGTGGCCGCCGGCGGGTCGCTGTACGTCCGCGCCAAGGATGGCATGGCCCCGCTGCACGCCGCCGCGCAGATGGGCTGCCTCGCCTGCCTCAAGTGGATGGTAAGTCTTTATCGGAGGCGACGAGTAGAAAGTATTGTTTCCCACCGTTGCGGTTTGCAAACAACAGTGCCCGTCGATGCCCCCTCAATCAGCATTCGCCCGGCCAGCGGGTGCGGGCGAGCGCATCGTGAAATGTAACCCGAGTTGCAGCCGACGCACTCTCAGCTTCAGCAGCGTGCTGCCGCAGCGCTGGGGGAAGGTTAGCGAGCGTTGCGGCGCGGGGGCGAAGACGTCTGTCTACCGGCCGTGGGGGAAACTTCATCGCGCCCTGCGGAGTTTTATCCGTTTTATCGCGGAGTTCAATTCGCGGCAATCTCACGACTCACGCACGGCCACCAGCTTCCCCGTTGACGGCGAGCTCTCGTCTTATGGTTTGGACGCAGTCGCGGTCGAGTCGTGATCGGGGAAGGTGAGAGCAAAGCGCGCGCCTATGGCTCCGGGCGCGTCCGTCTTCTGCTCCATTGTGGACGGCGTCGTGGTGCGCGTAGAGTGCGACCTTGCGGAGGACGCCGCCACGATCCGCCTCCACGTCGAGGGCTGGCCGTCGACCTCTGGCCCCCGCAAGCTCGACTGCGAGGTTAGACTCGTGCCCGCTTCTGCTGGTGGTCCGGGACGCCGTCGTCGTAGAGCTCGGTCTTGTTGACTGGGCCGCGACCACATGGACCAAGGCGCTGCCATCACGTTCCGGGTGCCTGTCGGGAGACGGGCCTGGGATCGAGTTCAGGGCACCACCCGAGTCTCGTGCAGGATGACGGTCGGCAAGGCGAAGGTAAATAAGTCACCAGGCCTCCGCGGTGTGCTCCGAACCGGTCCTGGCCACGCTGCTCTGCGTCGTGCTGCCCCCTGCAGTGAGTGGATTACCCCCGCGCACAGAAAGAAGAAATAATTTCCAATTCACTTGTTGATGGGGTCTAATGGTCCAAGTGCGCTGCGTGGCGCTGCGGGGACAGGTCGGGCTGGTCGTGTTCCCACTGCGGCGCAGCGAGACGCGCTCTCTGCCGAGACGGGACGAGGGAAAAAAGGGTTAACCCGGGCCGGGGCCCGACGTGGACGGCGTGGAAACCGGATGTGTTGGTCCATTATTGGCGCCAGGGCCGGTCTTTTTATTGATAGAATCATCACAAAGTTGGGTCAACTTTTAGGCGTGTGTAGCGCGTCGCGGTGGAGTCAGTCACTTTCAGATCCGGTGGCGCGGAACGACTCAATCTTTGGTTCGGCTTGTCTTGCGCAGGTGCAGGACCAGAGCGTGGACCCCAACCTGCGGGACGGCGACGGTGCCACCCCGCTGCACTTCGCGGCCTCCCGCGGCCACGTGGACACCGTGCGGTGGCTGCTGCGGCACGGAGCCAGGCTCACCCTGGACAGGCACGGCAAGAGCCCCATCAACGACGCGGCCGAGAACCAGCAGATGGAGGTGAGGCTAAGCAAGCGGCACGCACTGGGGGTCATGCACAAAATTTCGTCACGGCATTTTAGAAGGTTTGGAGAACTTTATGCACGGCACTCTCATTTCAGTTCATGCAGTAAGACACTGAGACAAAATTACCAGTCCAGTACAAAAATGTTACTTATTGATCGTGACTTGCCAAACATTTGTGTTGACAACCCTGACTGTGAGATCAATTGAAGTGCAGCAGAAAGGACCCTGCCTCTTAACATGATATAATTTGTGTACAACCCTCTCAACCATTGACAGGATGCAGTCTCGGGCGAAATTGATTAATTAACTCTCGTTTGCGATTATGTCGTCGTTGTTCACCTGAACCTCTTTTTGCAGTGCCTCAACGTCCTCGTGCAGCATGGCACCACGCCGGACTACTACGACGAGGCGCGGCTGGCCAACGGCAAGCTGCACGGCTGCACCTGCAGGAAGGGAGACCCCCACTCTAAGGTGAGCAGGTTGCGCTGCTCTGGCCATACGACTTGTGGGACTCCCTCAAACGCCTCTTTATGACACATGTTTGTTCCAGTGTTCCTACGCGGACTGCGTCAACTACAGCAGCAGCCGCGAGCCCTTCTACCTCCACCCGCCCTCGGTCGGCCTCGGCTCCCTGGGCGCGTTGGGGGCCGCCGCACCCGGCGACGGCCTCTACGTCAACCCCATGAACCACCACGGCCAGCACCGCAGGCACTCGTCGGCACCGCATAGCAACGGTCACAGTAACGGCCACAGTAATGGTCACAACGGCCACAGCAACGGTCATAGCAACGGTCACATCAATGGTCACAGCAATGGTCATAGCAATGGTCACAGTAACGGACAAGGAAACGGCCACAGCAACGGCCACGCGAATGGCCATACCAACGGCTACATCAACGGTCACGGCAGTCACAACGGCCACGCCAGGCACCGCACCAGCGTCCACGGCAACGGCCACAGCAACCGCAGCCACTCGGAGGACCGCGCCCGGGAGTCGTTCTACCTGCATAACCCCCGCGACCGCGAGTCGGTACCCAATCGCGTCAAGACGCTGTTCGACGGCGCGTCGCCAGCGTGCGCGGCCACCGCGGCCAAGCCGAACGGAACCGCCCACAACAACGGCGGCAACCCCAACGTGACGCCGCCGCCGCCGCCACCACCCCCGCACCAGGCGCCAGCCAACGGATTCAAAGGTAAGCCCCAAAGGGTTACGTGCGGGGGCTGCACCTGCTGCTGGCTGTAGGCGTCACGTCTCAATGGAGCCCAGGCAGACCGCACCGTCCGGACGGCGTCCCGGCGACAGAACGGTTGGGTGCGCTTTATCAATAGGCACGCCCAACGCTGCTGTCCTTGCCGAACCGAACTGTGACATTTCTAGGAAAAGTGCGGGCAGTTGTAGCGATGCCCGGCCGGGTGGATTACGTGGGAGTCGTGAAAATGCGGCATTTTACGAGAGGGATTGGGCGTTTCGTCTGCGTGCCTTTTACTCAGATTGGGTAATGATAAATTGTCTCTAGCAACAGCTTTGGCCCAATAAGTGACGCTTGCATGCTCGTTCATGCCTCGTATTTCACCTCCCCGGCCTGTGCCTCCCGTCACTTTCGCCGTCCTTGTCTCGTCTCGCCGCGGACGCGTGGATGCTCCCCGGGCGGCCGGGCCGGGGTCCTGACAGGCTGATGGATGACCGGGTGGTAACTACCGTGTCATAACAAACAACCTGCAGCCTGGCCGCCCTGGCCGGGCCGGCACAGAGTGGAGGTGCCAATGCGTGGAGCGGCTGCTGCTTGCTGCTGCCGCTGCCGACGCGTCCCGTGCGTCCTCAGTCACTCAGTAGCCTCCCTTCTGTGCGCAGTGAAAGTCGAGGTGCACTCCAGCTCGGGCAGCTCTGGGGCGGGCAGCGAGGAGAACCTCTCCTCGTCGGACACGTCGGAGCGGTCCGCGGGGCTGCACGACTACGAGGACATCTACCAGGTGCGCGAGCAGTCCCAGCAAGTCAACGGCCAGGTGAGTAGTAAGCCGTGAGCCGGGACGAGGCTGTAGCTGTGGGGTGTCCAGTCAGGCCTCTCACCCTCTCACCTCCGCCCCTCTGCAGCAGGGCGGCCACGCGCGGGTGTCACGGCGCTCCACGTCCAGGGACTCGGGCAGCCACTCGAGGTCGGGGTCCCGGTCGGGGTCCGTGTCCTCGGCGGGCTCAACGCAGGCCGCCAACGGCAACGGCGTGTCCCCGCACCATCACCACCACCAGGAGCAACACCTCCGCCACGCATCGGGCCCCCGGCAACACCGGCCCGACGTGGGCCAGGAGGACAAGTCCATAGCGGCGTCAACAGGTGGGTCACGAGCATCCAGCGAGAGCCCCTGCCAATGTGGACGGCATGGCTCATGACGGTGGCCTCGGTCGTGTTGCAGAGTCCGGCGTGTCGAGCGGCTCTCCCTCGGACCTCGGCCACTCCGAGGATGAGTGCGAGAGGACGCACGGCCCTAGGCACTCGCAGCACTCGCTGCCACACCCGCAGAACGCATCCCGGTAAGAGGCGCTACTACTCGGCTGCGCGGCGGACGTGCTCGCCTAGAGTCGCGGCTGATTGTTTCTGGTGGCTGTCCCGCAGGGCGCTGAAGCGCGTCGTCTCGGAGCCCGGGTCGTTCGCACCGCCGCCGCCGCCGCCACCACCTGCGGCACTCCTGGCGCCGCCCCCGGCCGCCTGCCCGCCATCCGCCGCCCCCTCGTCTCCGGCGACAGCTCCCGCCCCGCTCGCCCTGCCCCCCGGGCCGCGCATATCGCCCGCGCTGGGCCGGGCGCCGCCGCCCCCGCAGAGCGAGTCCGAACAGCAGGCGGCCCAGGACGCCGACGACGACCTCGCACTCGACCAGGACGACCTCAAGGGCGACGCCCTAGGTGAGCGCACCCTCAGTTTCTCTGTTGTCCCGACGCTTTGACGCGGCGCCTTTCCAGGAGTGACAGTGTGGCAGTCCGCGCCCCGAGCAGGGGGGCCGGAGGTCAGCCCGTCGCGGCGGCCCCCGTCGCCTCTCCGCGCCGCACCGCCGGCACCGGCGCACCACGGTGCTTATTACACCCCGCCGCGCGATGCAATGGAGAAAATGCGAGAGAAAATGATCGCCGGCCGTAAAAACGAATGGATGTCGTTGTCCGCGGCCGCCGCTCTCTGCCCGCCCGAGGCAGATTCACTCTGCCTGTCTGCATCACTTTCTTTGCCCGGTGGAATAATGAAAAAAATACCGCTTCGGTTCCATTCATTTTCAGTTTTTCCCCGTTTAGCATCTCCATGTTTGGCGGCTCATCTCGCGACCTCAACTGCACGCTCAAATCGTATACCACTCCTCGCTAATTCGTCGCTTTATCCGTTCCTCGGCGCGTTGCTCCCTCCCGCTTGGAGCGCTGCGGCGCCGCCCGGCGGGTAGGCCGCCCATTCGACGCTCGCGAGGTGCGCGCTGCTGCTGGCCGGGCGGCGTGGTACCCGCCTATGGGATGGGCTGGCGCGGCCGGCCATCGAATTGCCAGCTCTGGAGTGTGGGGTGTGGTGTGGGGTTCTGTGATCACCCACAGCTGATGGTGCTTGCTTTACGCCGCGTGCCGTGCTCCCCTTCCTGCCCCGTGGGTTGCGTCGCAAAGACTCGTAAGCCTTAAGTAGAGGGGGGCTGCCTGCAGGCGGGAGAGTCGTAGGCGTTCCCTATTCCTCGGTGGTAGGAAATGCGCGCGCCGCCAACCGAACCCAACTCTATGGCGAGACGGACTGCCCTGGCAGCGTCCCCGCCGCCTGTCCCGTCCTGCGGCTTCCGCCTCCAGACTACGCCCGCCCAGCACTGCATACTGCAGCACCAGCGGGTACCCCGCCGCGCCACCGCGCTGCTGGCGTCCGGGACCCTACCGCGTCCCCAGCCCGGGCCCGCCCCGCGCCGTGCCCCGCGGCCGCGGACCAGAGCCGCGCATCGCGCGCCGCGAGCGAGTCGACTGCAATTATGGACCGTAACACGTACGTCCGACTGGGAGGGGACGCGGCAGTCACCGTAGGGAAATCAATCCGGGCTCGGCTGGAGCCTCAGCCGGAGCCAGGCCCAGCTGGACGCGGCCAGGAACACTTCTCGCTCGGCTTCCTCCTTTCATACCTCCTATATCTCGTAGGGAACAGCCCCTGCGGAGCCAAGTTCAGCGAGTATTGCAGGTGATGATCGACTTATCTCTCAAATGACATTACAAAAAACACATTTTCTCCTCGTGGTAGAGACAGTCTGTAAGGGACTGTCTAAAAACATTTTTTTTTTTTTTTTGCGGAGGAAAGGCTCTTCTAGTTTCTTTTTATCACCACACATATACGGAGAAAGAGCTTCGCGAGTGCGGGAAAGGCGGCTTTGCAAATCTGGCGTTTTTCGGTCACTGAGCATGATGAACACTGCAAACGGGACGGGCGCGGGCGCGGCCACCGAGAGCCGAGCCGGGATCTTTTATGACCAGCTGGCGGCGGGTGCGCTCCGGGCCGGGCCGGGCCGGGGTGGCGTGAGGGCTCTCAGGGACCGTGACCGAGTGACAAGCGAGGCTCCGTGCGGCGCGGTGTGGTGTGCTGTTCTCACCCGCGAGCACGCTGCAAGCGCAAGGGCTTGTCGCCACCCCGCCTTACACTCTTGGACCACTGACGACGCAACAATCGCGAAGAAAGTCATGTTGAAGTCTAGTGAAGATCATGCAGACCGCGGAAATCAAAATATAGCTTGCCTATCCGACTTAAACATCTAACATTTCTGTGATTTGTGTTGGGCGCGGCGGCCGCACGGAGCTCTATCCGCAGCGGTGTGAACCAGGGCTGGCAAAATAAATTTAATTGGATTATCCCTCGATAATTTTGCCTCTCATGAGGGCAAAATTTAAATAGACAGAATTAAAATGGGCACTTAGTTACTGGGCAAAACTAAATCCACGGGGCAAAATCCAGGCACTAAAACTTTCAGACCTTTCACTCCTGGACCACAAAAATCCTCGCAACCCACCCATCCTGGGTCTTGTCCGGCCTTGTCTCCTGCCCAAAGTCCGAGTTCTTGAACTCGAGCGAACATCCCCTGACGCATCTCGGGTTGTCTCTCTAATCTCGGGTTCGTGGGGCCCTATTTATTTTGCTGTTTTATTTAGACCAATCATTAAATTCTACCCTCGGAGATGAAAAGGATTTTTGCCCCAGAAATTTGCCCTGGGTAAAATTATTTTTATATGGTCGAGAGGGCTTTATGATTTTGCCCAAGGGCAAAATATTTCGTCCTTGCGAAACATTTTGCTCTCCCAAGGGCTAATTTCAAAATAAGATTTAATTCTTTTTGCCAGCCCCGGTGTGCGCCGTGCGTCACGCCCGTCCTCGCCGCTAATTAAATCTAGACGTCGAGGAAGAGGAGTGGATGGATGGATGAATGAGTTGAGGCGAACTTGGAAACTTGAAATTAAGCGCCGAGGGTCCGGTCTGGTCCTGGTCTGCGCGGCGGCCCGGGCCGGGCGTGCATGAAGGAGCCAGCAGCGGCCCAGCGGGAGCGCGCCGCGCGCCTTTCCCTGGAGGCAGGCGAGTGTGTGTCAACGCTCCCCCATGCATATCGAGCCGCGCCTGTCTGGCCGCCGCGCCGCTGTCACTCGCCGCGCTTTTAATTCGGATTCACCCCAATAAATCTCTCGACTTAGTGGCGCGCGTTGCGCTGTGCTGCGCCGCGCCTCGCGCTTTTGTGGCGAGACCAGTCGGTCGTATTCATAATGTCTGCTCGCGGTGCGGTCGGATTTGCCGTGGGGCTGCAAACTGGCTCTAATCTCACTCACATCCACATCCACCCAGGCGGGCCGGGGGCCGGGCGGGCGCGGGCGCGGGCGCGCGCTCGCCTCCAGCGAGGCCTCCAGCTCCCTCCCCTCGCGAGGGCTGACCTCCTTACTATCGCCTTGATTCCACGCTTACCTCTCCGCGCCGCGGTTCGTTAGTGTTTTCGAGTCGTGTGTGTGGCATCAGAAAGGGGGGGGGGGTGCAGTGGGAACGCAGTTTTAGGCATTCGATGAGAGCAGCAGAGTGACTGGTAGAGTGGGATGGGAGG